TTCATTTTTGAATTATACATATAGAAAAGGAATTATCTTCTCTCTGAGAAAACTAGGGAAACATGGGATTTAATAATAATGGACATAAAGTAGGACATGTCTGCTAAACAGCTTAAAATTGAGAAAATCATATCAAAACAAGTTATCAGAATATGCCATTCATCACCAGTGCAGACTCTTCCATGTAGTTATTTTTAGCTTCAATATATGGAGTTTCTTTGAAAGGCAGAGGTCTTCAACTGCTGTAAGATGTGGATACACCCAAGGGATGGGTGCCACTCTTCACAAAGCCACAAGCTAACGTTGACAGGCTCCATGAAGAAACTACAAATATCTACACTTTCTGTGCACTTTTTGTTTTGTTGTTTGGTTTTGGCAGTTGTTGGGTTTTGGTATTTTTTCAGCAGTAAGACAAATAGCTGTCCTTTTAGGAAAGTACTTCAGAACACTAGTCTGGAGTCTACGGAGAGATGAGCAAATCTCTGGAGAAAAAAATAAGTCTTCAAGCACGAATGTAATAAACTGGCCTTACCCTGAAAGAGTGTCAGATGTCACTCGTTTGTTCAGAAGGTTATATTAGGCATGGCTCATCCACTAGAAGTCTGGACACTGAAAGAAGATGTTATTTGTCAAATACTTTGACTGAGTTGCAATTAAGCTTTTACTGAGAAATAGTATTGCAGTTCTGTCTGCAAAGCCATGATCAGTGGGCATGGCCTCATTTGAACTGTCTCTGACAAAAATAGAAATGTTCCAGCAGCAATAACACATTATAGACATATAGTTTGGGAGAAAGGAAGAGATCATCTATGTATTCAATGTCTCAGCACAGGGGTCCTTTAAAAGTTCTTGAGAACAAATGAAGTGGAAAAACTAAAACTCATTCCTTCACACTCATCTTTTGGATTGCCCAGCTGCCATTACTCCCAGTTGCTTAACATCAGCTCATTGAATGGCTTGCTACAAGGCTTACAGCTGAATTTAACCCAGCTCCTAGTTATGTGTAAAGTCTCATGAAGGACACAAAAATCATGATCTGTGTCTGTAAAAAAAACTTACTGGCAACGTTGGACAAGCATGAAGCTCAATTTTCAGTCTTATTTTTGTTCACATGAATCCAGAAGACAAAAGTATTTTCTCCTTATAAACAGACTAAATCTACTGGATACTGAAGTCCTTCAGGCTTTATTGAAATGACAAAATTTCTGAAAGTTTTTGAAAAGAAAAACGTGTCTTATATAGAATGAAAATATTTCAGTCACTTCATAGCCAACCCTAGCAACCCAGAGAGCATCAGATCACATAACCTCTTCATAGGTATATGGAAAATAATACAACTCCAACAGTTTGGGTATGTAACTACCCCCTGCTTTTTACAGCAAAGGTCTGTACTGTCTTAGGGCTACCAAAGGTTGGGATGCTTCCAAAGGCAAGCCGTTTATTCAGAGGGAGAATTAATCAAGGCTCATGTTTTCCAAAAGGCAACTAGCTTACTTGCGCCCTTGAAAAAAAAATCCTTTCCCTAGAGCTCATCCACTGGGCTGTTTGGGCTGCATATTTTAAGCAGCAGCAAACTGCCAAGTCAAAAGCAAATAATTTGTTTCTAAGGGAAGCAAGGAAAAGACAAAGAGCAGAAGTTAACACTGAAGATCTTTGCAAGCTTCAGGGTACAAAAAAATTGTTTTAATGAGAGCTAAAAATACTTTCTTCTAAGAGCTCTTGCTCTTCTGCCAAAGTCATGCAATACACAGAGAAACATGTTTTCAGAATCAAAATATTTATAACACTACAAAGAAGCAGTCCCTGCTTTAGAAACTTACTATAGCTGGTTAACTCAGAATACATTTTTTATATTACAGGCAAAAGATTATCAACTACTAACAGAAGTGAATATTGGCTTTGTGGCAAACAATGTTTGTTAAAACAGGGAAAAAAGCTGCATGTTTTCTCTAGATCACCTGACAGTTACCTTAGTGTAACCATCAATATAGGTATAGGACAAAATATAATTTTACTTTCTATCTTCCTCTTTGCTATTTGACAGAAATGAGTTGTACTAGACTACACTCTGAAATAAAGTAACAGTAGGGCTGTGCAAACAAATATGAAGTCACCTGGCCTTGCTGGAAGCTTTGCAGAGATTTGTTCTCTGTACTCAAAAATCTCTGCTCAACTCAAAATCCAACTCTACATTTGTAGTCCAGGGGAACACAGAAAGCTAAATATTTATAAGGATCAAATTTCAGAGAAACTTTTATGGCAAGTGTCAAGGCCAGCTTCTTTCTTTTGTTAATTTTGAGCATTGGAAAATCTTACTGTTTTAAGGGAAAAAAAAACAACCAACCAACCAACCAACAAAACAAAACCAAAACAAACAAACAAACAAACAAAACCCCAAAAAAACAAAGAGAAGTGATTTGAAGTCATGGATAGAGTGACAATTTTCACTTTTGTAAATCCAAGTTTTCTTGCCATATTTAGCTAATGCTGAGACAGTGTCTACAGCAACATCAACAATGCCAGTGCAAGGCTGCCAATATTGTCTTCAATTGTGAAAAGCACTTTTTTTTTTTTTTAAGTCTCTTCTTCACTTTTCCCCCTTCAAAGGGGGAAATAAAACAGCAGAAAACAGACAACTGCTTTGTACAATTGTCAGGCAAAGGAATCTACAATTCTATTTTGTAGCACAGTGGCTATTTGCATACTGACCTAGCAAGAATCGAACATAACTTGTTACAGTATTTGCAACACTGCAGCAACAACTTGTTTAAAAATCATGAAATGCCAGCTCCTGCATTTAATTTAAATTTCTCTCTTCTGTTGTAAGCCAAGAAAGAAAACCAAAAATTGATACAAGAGGCTGCCAGCCCTACTTCTGTGCCAAAAAAATCCCACAAAATCGGCTTTAAGTAAGGTCCAAAACTGAGAGAAATTACTTCAGGCTTTCAGAAAAATTGCTTAATATCCTCAAAAAAACCAGTTTGTGTAGTTTGTTAAATTACAGTAGGCAATTCTTTTCTAGTAAAACAATGGTAAAGCAGCAAAAATACAAAAAGAGTACTCAAAGTGTCTAAATCATTTATGCTTCCTGTTAGTTGGTTCATTAGTTGCAACTTCAGTTCTTGCCCCCTGAACATCTCCTTTCTCTCCTTGCTGATGAAAAGCTGTAACAGAGCAAGGCAAACTCTCTGTGCTACAAGCTGGTTCTACAAACTGGCAGGGCTTGGCCCATGCTGCTGCCACCAACAGTGAGTCTACTGGAAATGTTTCCCTTCCCTAAAAGGGAAAGTGAGCAATAATGATTATTAAGGACTAACAGATGAGGACATACAACTTCAATTATGTCCTAACCTTTAACCTGTCCTGTGTATTTAAATTTTAAGTATGTTTGGGTGGGATTTCTTGTGTTACTCTGCAACACTCAATACATCAAAAGTTGACCTTCAGTTGACCTTGCAGCATGCTATAACAAATGCATTATAAACACTATCTGACTTCTCAGGTTTTGTCACAGTATAAGTCTAGACAGATGAAAGAGTGTTCATGTAACTGCGCATAGTTCAAGTGTCAGCACTGTCACATACAGAAACACAAGAATTCATGCTCATCTCAGGCCCGTCCACACATTGCTATCAAGATCCAGCACACTGAAGAGCATGCAAGAGGATAGACTGAAGTTTCTGCTGCCCTTACCACAGCTATTTATCTCACCTTACAGGTCTTCAGAAACTCTTAACTTGGTTCTTTATGGTGTTATAACAAAATGCCTGTGTTGACTGCTATGCCATCAAGCCTGGAAGACAGAAACTTAAGATTTGTCTTGGTAAGTTTGAAGCTTTAATGATACATAAAAAACATTAAAATAGCACAAAGTGAGCCCTGAAACAAGTATTGACACTTTAAATTCAAAACCTGTTCAATGTGAATGGTTATGTTATTTGCACTGTATATAAATCATATGTATGAGCATAATCACTAGAGCAAAGTTTTTTGTCACCTAAGAACAAACAGATGAACACTTAAGTTTCCACATACACGCTGTTTATCTACAAGGCTTCCAAAGACCTGGTTGTCTTCTCGTAATAGGTAAATCAATACCAAAGTAATCATTGGCTCCTACATCAGTTAAAGACTTTGCTTAGACCATGTCACACTGCTGTCTCCCCAGAATTCACGAGAGTTCCAACCAGAAGTATCGATATTAAAAAAATTGTCATATACATACATCAGGAAAATTAGTTCTTAATGAAGAAACATCTGTTAATGTTCAACTGCCTTCTTCTCATTGTCAGAACTTTCCACTAACATTAATTCCAACAGATGGGTAATACTGACAGTAGGCACCTGCTGTTCTAGAGAGCAGTGTTTGAAAGTTAAAACTACCTCAAAAAGTTGGGAATTGCACTTTAGCTTTATTTTTTTTTAAAAAAAAAGAACAGTGTAACTAATAGCTTGATGCATAAAAATGAACTTTATCAGTTATGTCCAACTGCTTTATCAAATTCTGTCTCAGTGGTTTTCTAACCCCTAAATGGTACTTCATTACACTATATTACATTCAGGTTTTCCTGTCATCCCTACTTGCTCTGAATCAGCTATCACACTGTTTTCCCTCATGTACTGGAAAAAGTACTCTGAAAGATTGAAGACACTCAAGTTTGTTTAAACTTTAAGCCAGCTTGCAGTTTCATTCCCAGGCATTCACAGCCCCTTACAATAAAAAACTAAACTAAACCAAACAAAACCCTCTTCTCAGCCCCCAGGAATTCAAGTTCCAGTAAATAAAACAGGCAGATATTGCTTCCATCCCATTTCTTCTAGCACTTCTTTAAAAGCTCCTGCCTTTAAGGCTATTGGTTCACATAGGCACACAAATATCATCCCACCTAGCAGAGCAGATTGTTCTGGAAATAAACATACATACGCATTTTGAAAACAAGATTTTATTTGAAGCTTATCAAAACCATCTGAAATCTTACTCAGGAAAGGCACTTCAGACTTTAGTCCCTTTTCTTTTTAGCTTTGAGTTCTTGTGATGGCTGAGGTAAGCCATTTTCTTTAACTTCATTGCAATGCTTTCTTTTCTTTTCCTTTGACTTTTTATGGTCACTTTGGTAACCACTGGAGTCACTGGTAGGCAATACTTGTTCCTGTTCATCTTGCTTATGCTTTTTCTTTTTCTTCTTCTTCTTCTTGTTTTTATCATCACATAACCCATTCGCAGAATCAACACTTTGCTCTTCTGCATCTTCCCTCACCGTGTCATCTGTTTCACCTACAGGCTCCTCCTCTGTGATGTTATCTCCCCCAGAGTAATTCACGCCATTTTCCTGGTGTTCAAGTTCCTGAATTTCATCTGCATTTGCACTGTCAGGGACTGCCTCAGATTGTTTGGGCCACATGCTGTAAAGCAATAAACTAAATAAGCTGAAGTAGAGACGTCTAAGTAGACCTCACACAGTGAAATAGCAAAATTTGCTAGAACACAGTATTTACACCAACTAGATGAAAGATAGGCATTTGCTAAAGAAAACAAATGGAGAACATGATACTCTAGTTAGAGAAAATCATAAAGCCAGTTTCATACTATAAGAGTAATTTCTACTTCCTGACTAGCTTCCTTCTCAGAATCAATATTCTATTTCAAACTTTAGCCTAAATGTCTTCTTTAAAACGCTGTACAGACCATTCTGATATTTCCTCTTTTCTTGTACTCCCCTTCATCACTAACTCATACTTACACACTATGAAGTAAACTTTTTATTAAAAATTATTCACAAACATGCACAGCCAACAGCTTGTGCTGCTGTCACATACACGAGACACACTGCTGGTTTCACCAAGCAATTGCCTTGCTGAAGTCTATACAGTTAAAACAAAGCTGATGCCAGAAAGTAAAAAAAAAAAAAAAAAAAAAAAGGGGGGGGGAAAAAACCCAAGAGCAAATAAAAAAAAAAGCGAACAAGAAAAAAAAAAAAAAAAAAAAAAAAAAAAAAAAAGGGGGGGGGAAAAATCCTCAGCAGGTACCTTGCAATAGAAAGCTCTGGAGAAAACGTCTAGGAAAACAAATATAGAAAGAATGCAGTTAAAAAACATGGAGGAGATGTTCCCAGAGACACCGAGGAAAAAATCATTAAGTTTCACTGTAAGTTCACTGAAACAATACAGTGCATCATTCTGGATTAAAAAAAGAAAAAAAAAAAACAACAAAAAAAAGGTGAATATTTTGTCAGTAGTAGTCATATGATAAATTTAATTTAAAAAATAACCACACTAGTAGAAAAAAATTGCTCAGCAACAATCATTTAAACAACAAAAATCTGAATGAAGTCTTTTAAAGATACTATTATTAAGATTTTTAGCAAGCTGCTCTAAAAATTTACAGAGGAGTAAGTGGAAAAAGGAAGGTGATGCATTTACCTGTATCATCTTTGATATTCTTATGTTTTATCAAGCATTTAAGTCACCCCCATAACTATCTGTGGTTACAAAGCTTGTGTGTGTACGCACCAGTATAAATGCTGTATTCAGGAACTGGAGTGTTTTCACTTGAAAAGTCTATGCACGTTCAGAAACACAGCTCCTCTAGACATTCGGTATGCTATTTTGAACATGTATTATTTATGCAGTGAACAGTTCAGAGGTCAACACACTTGCATAGTCAAAGCTCAAAAAAACTCCCCTGTTTTTATTTTTCCAGAGAAAACTTCCACGTGAGTCCTAAACACTATGAAGTTTAGCTTAAGATAACTAACTCAGGCTAAATATAGACAGGGGCTTGTGTAAAAATAAGAAAAATTAAAGATTAAGGTGTTAATTTAAATCATTTAGCTTGTAACAAACCTATTAAAGCAGCTACAAATTCTCTCTTAGGGCACAATACCTGCTTTTAGTGAGTCCTCCTCGAATGAAGAACACCCCAGCTGCATCAGAATCCAAGTGCAATACTTTAAATTTCAGTTCATCCCCTATTTTTAACCCCAGTTCTTGCCACTGTACAAATGACATTTGTTCAGGTTTAGGGATAGAAGCATTGAAGCACCCATGTATCAGGCAGCCAATATGACTAGGGGCCACTTTATTGATTACACCCTAAAAAAGAAAAAGAACGTCATAAAAAGCTATTGTAAAAATCATCCTTTTAAATGCCGACAACACAGATTTAGTTTCCTATAGGGACACTTTTCAACAAGAGTTTGCACACCAGTTACAGTCAGTTTACCTACCAAATAAGCAAATTCTTCTTCACTAAAATCAAAGCCACTCCTAGATAATATTATTTATAATAAAAAAATATATAAATGGTATTCCATTTAGTGGGCTTCTGACACATAAAACACCATTCACTTTTGTTTTCTCCAAGGATAAATGAAAGACGCTGCATTTTTCCATTCTCTTCCTAGCAAGAAGGCACATTCATATCTTAACCTCATTTAGAAAGACACAAGCTGTGTTGCTAAAGGTATGGAATAACAAAGAACGCAAGCCAACTCCCGACTTTTTTTTCCCCCAAGTACTGATGCGAGGGTACTAATAAGCTTAAAACTGTTCTGTGAGCTATGCATTCCCTTTACTGAAAACAGGCTTCAACCTGATGTACAGCTCTCACACTTGAAGGAAATAAACTCATGAGAGCATCCTAAACATTCCCACCAGCATTAAATAAGAACGTACCTGTTTGAGAATTATCTGCTCTTCAGAAAGAAGCATCCATACAAATTATATACAAAAACATGCATAGTGTTTAATAACGTATAATTCTTACAATATGGTATTTTAATAATGTTAAAACATTACACATAAATTCAGCAAATATAGGGGCAGGTAGAGACAGATACACACTGCTAATAAACAACTGTAAACTGAAACTACTCACAAATTATTAACATAAACTAAAGCACAACCATCTAAGCCCCAGGCCTCTGTTGATGATGGAGATAAGCCAAGCTTTGATCACATGATTTAAAAATGCCCCACGTGACGCCAACGCGTTTACCTACCACCAGTTTTTTCCCCTTCTTGGGGCTGAAGATGACGAAATCCGCTTCGATGTTCAGGTGGATGAATCCTTGGTCGTCGTAAATGTCGCCCAGCTCACCCACCACTTTGATGTTGTCGTAAGCCACCGGCACACCCTGAAGGCTGGAAGAAAAGGGGACAGCGTTAGCTGCAGGGCCAGAGCCTGCGGGCAGCGGGCCCCCGGAGG